AGCCCAAAACAAGTCCAAGCAACAACAAAAAGTAGCCCCACATTACGCTTTCCCTCCCTCCTCCCCCCGTAATGGGTTCAGTCGGTGGTGAAAGCGGGCGGAGGAAACCGGCGTCGCGCAAAACGCTCCGGCGCCGAGCGGAAGCGCCCGCCCGCCCGCGCGGCTCCGCTCCCCTCCGCTCGGCGTCTCCCTTTTTTTTCTCTGTGGTTTCACGCCTTGTTCTCCCCGCGCGGCTGCTCCGCGGTCGGTCACAAAATGAAAACGTAAAACGGGGATATTTTTTTTTCCTTCCCTCCCGCGCTCTCCCTCCCTGTGGGTGTGTGTGTGTGTGTGTGTTTTATGGCGGGGGGACGGTGGTGGGGTGGGGGGGCTATTGAGGGAGAAGGAAAACTCACAGGAGAGGCGGCGGCGGCAACAACGTTCGTTTCAAAAAAAAAAGGCGTCCGGTGCCGGTGTGAGAGGGGCACAGTCGCCGCTTTTAACGTCGAGGTACGGACGGGCGCAACGGCTCATGAGGAAAGCTCCGTCTGTCTCTCTCTCCATTGTGTGTCCCTCTCGGGCTTCAACCCCTCATGTGTGGGCGCGATATTGACGGCGCTTCGCTCTCTCTCTGTGTGTGTGAGGGGGTGTCGGTGGCTCAGGCTGTGAGCGCCCTCCCGCTCACTTCCTGTGGGGATGGGGGAGACCCTGGTGGGTGGGGGTACACTGTGGGGGGGGGGGAGAGGCTAAGTTGCGCCTCCTCGCTCGGGGTGGGGTGGGGGGTGGCTGCGAGCTGACCCGCTCGTTATCCCGCCCGACGTTTACTTGATGCGGCTCTCGACTTCGCCCGACGGTCACTACACCCTCACAGCGAGGAGCTTCGTTTGAGACGTCTCGACGACGTGATAAGGCGCTGTTGTCGTTGTTGTTATTGTTGTTATTATTGCCAAAAGCAATAATTAAATCGGTCATTTTCAATCCACGACTGTTTGTGGGACATTGCTGTGCGCCATCGGCCGCCGCGTTCGCCCACAAATATACAGTCACTTCACTTTACAGTGTGTTCTGTGAAGCGCTTTGGGACGTCCTCCCGACGTGAAAAGCGTTATATCAATTGCAAGGATTATTATTATTATTATTATTATATTATACAGATGCCTAAATTGCCAGTCTGGAGGGCTGGTCACTGAGCCCTTTCACCTCGGAGTGAGGTGTCATCAGGAATTTTCATGCGCTCTGCGACGCTACTCAGTGTGAGGGGCGCTATCTAAATGTGAGGTTGTTGTTGTTGTTGTGGACGTGGCTTTAGCTGGTTGAACTCCAGCAGTTACCCCAATGATGAGCATCAGTGGCATTACACCCAAATCCTGCGGGCGGTGGGGTGGGGGGGGGGCACACAATGTTTCTTACAAAGAACTAGCGCTTCGTTTTAATGTAACAGAGGAAACTTTTTAAAACGTCGCTCATCAAAATCTTGGTGATGGGGGTGGGGTGGTGGGGGAGGAGAAGAGTCCTGGGTCTAAGCAGCAGCCGGATCTGATTCGTTCTATACCAGTGTAAATCGCTGATTCTTTTAAATGTCTGTTCAAGCGTTTTGCAATTGCCCGAAAGAAAAGCATTGAAAATAATGCACCACCAAAAAAAAAAATACACAGGGTAAATGGAAGGCAGTGACCAGAAACTGAATCGTTTCATTTATTGTTTCCATGTGGACCAGCCAAGGTAAGCAGCTAACAGCAGGCACCGTGGGGCACCTGCCAGTCACACAGATTATCACCTGTACCACGTGGCTTCCACAATGCTTGTTGTGCAGGGCATCAGCACAAACATAGCCTTTGGCAAGTTCTTTATCCACTTTCACCAGCTGCTGCTGTGTTCTCGTGCTGAAGGGAGAATCCTTCCGTTGAAACATGGTCTCGGATTTTTGACCAGAGTAATCGCTTGGAAAACTTCTTGCATAAAGACTGGGGAGACGGGCGCAGATGAAAAGAAATCAGTGCATAGAGGATTTTGCAAGAAACCTATTCCCTACTCTGTCCTTCAGATGAGAAGTTAAACTGAACTCCAGTCCGCCTGGATGTTAAAGGACCCGTGGCACTGTTCAAAAAAGAGGAAGTTTCTTCCTGTGGTCTGGTCAACCAACCCCCAAATAAAATTCATTCACTGCATAGCTTTGTTTGCGGGACATTGCTGTGTGCAAATTGGCTGTCACATGCATGCACACAAGAACATAGTCACTCCACTTCATAGTAAGTATATCCTGTGAAGCGATTTGAGACATCCTACCGGGAAAGGCGCTATACACGTACACAAAGAGACACACATACATGATTCCTTTAAGTCTTATGCAGTCTGTGAATTGTAGCAATTTGCTAATGACTTGGTTAATAATTGGAAAATTTTGGATAACTGGGTCCAGAGGTGGAAGATCCAATTATGTGTAAGTAAACATCCGTTAGTTAGTATGGGAGCAAGGAACCAAAAGAGGAAATATGACCACATGAGAGAGGTAGCAGCACTGCCCTGAAGTCTCAAACTAGACTGTGAAGTCATTCCTGTTGTGGGGCTTGAACCCACAATCTTCTGATTCTGTTGATTAGAGGATTCATCTGCCAAACAACAACAGGATGAGTTAAACAACGAACAACAGTGAGTCAATCATCAGTTCATCACCTGAGGCAGGTATAAATAAGATGTAAGTATACAAACCCTGTGAGCTTTAATCAGGCCATTTAGGCCATGTTTTAAAAATTAATCTGTAAAAGAATTGGAAAAAGTTTCTCAGCAAAGATAAAAGAAAGTATAAGGGTTTAATGGTCGCACTGGGTCTCTTTGTAGTTTGGTCCCAGTGCTTGTAAAGCATTGTTGTGTTAAATGACTTCATAATTATCACACGGTGCTTTGAACATTTGCTATAAACATTTTCAAAAGAAAACAGTTCCAGTGACTGACTACCTGTTCAAGTACTCAGAGATGCTGTTCCGTGTGAAGGGTGGTATATAAATGCAAGTTGTTGTTGATGTTGTTGACCCAATGCCACTCACCTCAATTTAAATATTTCATGAAAATATGAATAATGACAAGCCTTGTGTCTGACATAGTAAAAAGGCTCTATGCACTTTTTGCAATGAATAATTGTCAAATGCAGTGACCGTGCAAGCAGTCATTTTGTGCAAAGCAAAGTCCCACAAAGAGTCTTCAAGTGAAGCGAACAACCAATTTTATCATTTCAAAAAGTCGGTAGGATCCATGGAGAAACTCCCTTCTGCTTTCCAATATCTGTTGTCGTTGCGGAAAAGAGGGAATCTCAGTTTGACGTCTCATCTGAAGGGTGGCAGATCTGACAATACATTTCTAAATATTTTAGGAAGAGAGAGTGCCTTTCACATAAAGAATATCTTGAAGCATTTGAGACACTAGTGCTAGACACAGTAGATTCAGGAAGGAGGGCAAGTTCTGAGGTGTCCTCAGCTGTAGATATATCACAGAGCTGTTGTATTGCTTGAGACACTAATGACACAAGGTGGCATAAGAACAAGCACTTGTGCCTACCGCAATGTGCTGAGACATTTGACTTGCTTGTAATCCTCAGCACGCGCTGCGGAGCAGGACACGGACAAAAGCTGTACCCAGCAATTAGCTCTGCGACGTGTCCCTGGGGCTTTAGGATGAAGCTGTCGTGGTAAACAATCAAATCTCTGAATCCGGGTACGGCACAATGTGCCACTGTGTGCACTCATTGATCTCCACACAGCAGCTGCGAAAGAGCCAGTGGAGCTCATCCCAGGTACCCACTTAGGGTGTACTTTACTGCAGGGTTGTTATGGTAACAAAATGGAAAAGCAATCCGTTAGTCGTGTTTTGTTTTAAAAGATTTGCGGAAAAATGATCACCCGCAACGTCCTTGTGATGGACCAGGTTAGCCGGGAGCTGCCACAGGGACCAAATCTAAAGGAAGTTCTCGCTGATAAACAAAGCAGCTCACAGGTTGGATAACGCCACCATCTGAAGGTCCCGGTGACGCCCTCTGCCCACTCTGCGAATGGCAAGTAAATGCACATCTAATAATATTATTATTATTATTGTTATATATACACACACAGCAAGACCCAACGGGGAGAGGGAGGCCATTCAGCCCACCAAGCCCTTTCCAACATCTTATTAGATCTTGGCAGATCACCTACAAACACACAGCCACTACACTTTACCGAAGGCCCGGCTTCGAGACGTCTCAAAGCGCTTCACAGGACACACCGCAAAGTGTAGTGACTGTGTTGTTACTTGTGGGCAAAATCTGCGCTGCAGTATTTACCTTTTGAAGTATTATAATATGATCACTGCACGTGACACAGATAAGCACTGTATTTGGGGAGTTTATTTTTGTAAATACTTGTTTAAAAACGACAAGAATTAAAAAAAAAAAAATTTAAAAAAAATTTGTGTCAGAAGTGGGATTCGAACCCACGCCTCCAGTTGGAGACCAGAACACCCGCAGCGGCTCGTTACGCCGAAGGACTTCACTCCTTGAGTCTGGCGCCTTAGACCACTCGGCCATCCTGACACTCGATAGTCAGCGGCTGTTAATAGCCTTAATAACCCTCACTGAGCAGTCTGTTCGGTCGCTCGACTCGACTTCCATCTCGATGCCCAGGCGGGTTGGGAGCGGCCGGAGCCGCCTTTACCACAACATAACGTATATATTATTATATATATATAACTCCCACCACTTGAGATCCTCTACACCCGACTAAATGCAACGAGTCATTCCCTCCATCACAAACTGCTATTCACGCCGAGAGGCGATAACAGGTGTGTGGTCACTGACTGTAATCTAAGGCACCGAATAGCCGCGCACCTTGACCAGGAGCGGCCGCGCGCGCGCGCGGGGGGCGCCGGGAGCTGTAGTTCGTCATCGCTTGATTTGCGGTAATTTTGCGACGGGAGGAGCCGCGGGAGGGACGGCATAACCCAGCGGCCCCCGCGCGCCCCCCCCCGACGTTGAGGCATCGAGCGGCGAGGTGGCTCGTGCGCAGGCGCATTGCCGGCGGCAGCCATTTTGTGTGTGTGTGTGTGTGAGAGAGAGAGAGAGATGGTACCTGTGGCCAGGAGCTTGCTGTCCCTGGCGGGTAAGCATTGCACCCTCCCCTCTATACCCGCTCATCAGTGAATGAGGAGAGGGTTTTTATTAGGGGGCGGTGTTAGTGTATATTCTGGTCCTGGTTCCTGAGGTTTACCTCCCGCCCTCGCCCTGACAAGGCCGAGAGGTGGTTTGGCTGAAGGTCGTTTCTGGGCGGCGGGGGAAGGGGCCCTGTGGGTATAACTGTCCTCTCTCTCTGTCTGTATCATTGCGAGCATTTCTGCCTGTCTTTCTGTGTGTGTGTATATGTATGCGTCTCGTCTGTGACTGTCTCTGTGACTGTCTCTGTGTGTTTCTGTCTGTGACTGTCTGTCTGTGTGTGTTTCTGTCTGTGTCTGTCTCTGTGTGTTTCTGTCTGTGACTGTCTGTCTGTGTGTTTCTGTCTGTGACTGTCTGTCTGTGTGTGTTTCTGTCTGTGACTGTCTGTCTGTCTGTTTCTGTCTGTGTCTGTCTCTCTGTGTTTCTGTCTGTGACTGTCTCTGTGTTTCTGTCTATGACTATCTATCTGTGTGTTTCTGTCTGTGACTCTCTCTGTGACTGTTTCTCCGTCTGTGATCGCCTCTCTCTCTGTGTCCGTGACTGTCTCTCTGTGTGTCTGTCTGTGTCTGTCTCTTGGTGTCTGTGTCCCTCTGTGTCTCTGTCTGTGATTGTGTGTCTCTCTCACTCTGTGTCTGTGACTCTCTGTGTGTGTATCTGTATGTGTTGGGGATGAGGAGGATGCAGAAGCTCAAATTAATGCAATGTGGGGGTTAAACTTCTGTGTAGAAAAGCGGAGTATTTTGCAGACACACACTTAACATTTAGTAATATTGCTGAACTCCTCGCCAGTTTAAGCCGATGGGTCCTCCTGGCCCATTGCACAAGGAAATCTTTGAGTGTGGAGGCAGCTTGTACAGTGTCATTAGGGGGGAAATAATGGTGCAAATGGCCAATGTGAAGGAATTTATTTGAAAGGTTGGTGAATCAGGTTTGGGGTTTTTGACCTTTCATACAAGGACAACCCCTCCTTCCCACTCCAATCATATGGGTTTAAACTGACCTTTGTTATTGTGCATCAAGCATTATGCCTGATAATCCCTCCAAAAACCAAAAACAATAATAAATTGGTCATTTTCAATCTACGACTGTTTGTGGGACATTGCTGTGCGCAATTGGCTGCCGCGTTCGCCCACAAATATACAGTCAATTCACTTTACAGTGTGTTCTGTGAAGCGCTTTGGGACGTCCTCCCGACGTGAAAAGCGCTATATCAAATGCAAGGATTATTATTATTATAGTGTACACATGCAGCCATGTTAAACTGACAGCTCTATGTGCTATTCGAATTGTATATCACAAATTAAGAATTGCATTATTTCCAATTTGCTGAAGTTAAACACACCAATTACTCAGGGCCCGACTGGTATTCAGAATCCAGATTAGCTCAGTTTTATTTTGTAATTTATGAGGAAAGTGCCAAGATGATGGTAAAATTCCCTGCTCTTCTAAATACAATAGTGTCTTTAATATTCATTAGAGCAGGCAGACTGGACCTCAGATTAATGTTTTAACTAAAGGCACCTCGAATAATGCAGTACTCTCACAGTGTTATCCAAGACTATTAAACAAGATTAAGATCTTAAATTCCTATTTGGGACTCAGACTTCTGAGGTGAAAGTGCTACTGATTGAGATAACCTTTTTTGTTCTCACTCTTTGTGAGAAATTTAGTAATAATTACGCTATTTTGTATGATGGAGGTTGTTGACCTTCAGCTTGGCCTGGAGGAAGATTTTGAAAACAGTTTATAACCAAAGGATTTTTAAACACAGCCATTGAGCTTGAAAACCTAGCCGAGCTGATTGATGGATACTGCAATAAAAGGGTTTCAAGGTCACACAGTGCATTTATGAGCTACTCTTTATTGAAAGTGCGTTAGTGATTTCTATTTAAAGGAATCACTTCAGAATGCACCCATCCACAAATCTTGGTATGATCCTAATGCTGCTTTTTGTCAAAGTAATATGCGCTCAACTGACAGCTTCTAGAAAATATTACCATTATTGTTTTATAAGAATTGTCAATAAATATATTGCTAGCATTCTGTATAGTTCTTAAAATTGCAAGTACTGTATAATGCATTTCTAGCTTTCCTCTTGCTGGGCTAAACAGCATCTATGATTCAGGCCAAGCAAGCAATCTGCTTTCAGGCCCACCAATGCACCTCTTGAGCTGCATAGGTATGTCTGGTGGTGATCGTTTTGCTGTCTTAACTTTAGTTTGGGAAAATGTGCGGCTTTTATTTAATTCACTTTAAATGTCTGTGGTTGTGAGAGTTATCAATGGTTCTGATGGTTCGCTTTTGTTTCAATTTCAGGACGCAGCATTCGCCCGGTTATGACGAGACAAGCTCACCACAGAGCCGGTCCTGATTTTCATGACAAATATGGAACAGTTATCCTTTTGGCGGGAACAACATTCTGTGTTGGTATCTGGTCATTTGTAAGTGTTTTCATATAGAGTATCAGCATCCGCTTTGGAACTTACTGCCTCAATCCCTCCGCCTTGCCACCTCCTTGCCCATGTTCAAATCACACTTCCTTTTCGACTGTGCCTATGGTGACCTTTCCTCTTTTTAGCAGGGACCACTGTTAATTTCTAGGAGTATGTAACAGATTAATTTCAGCATTCTAACTCGGGCATACTGGGGATTGAACTTCGATTTACCTGTCCTGTATATGTCTGTCACTGCTGCCAATGCCTATGACAGCTGAGCCACTACGAGCTCTTAATCTTTCCTTTTACAGAGTGGTAATATTTTCTCTTTTACTTAGGTTTCTACGCAGACCGGAATCACCTGGAACTTTTCACCAGTAGGCAAGGTCACCCCACAAGAGTGGAGGGAGGACTGATGGAAGAGACGGTGTGCAGGAAATCCTGAGTAAACCTTACGCAAACGTCCTGAACTATAAATCACTTCCAGCCCACTTACATTATTGCGCTGATGTCTGTATATTTGGTTTCATGGTAAATCAATAAATTATAAAAACTTATTGTCCGTTACAATTATTCCGTGCACTTAAGGTGGTAGTTCTGTGACGATAACACACATGTACTAATCTTGTGGGCAGAAACTGGAGGCAGAATTATTAAAATCATTGAATAATTCTGCAATATTAGCCCATTTGGTATGAAATTGTGAACCTCTATTCTGAAGCTACGTTAAGCGCACTGAGGCGCCGTCCGGTGTGGAGGGCGCTATATAAATCCAAGCTTATGTGGAGTCCTGTGGCTCAGTGGTTAGAGCACTCGCTTTGCAAGTAAGAGACCTGAGTTCATTTCCAGGCAGAGGGCGAAACCTTGGGCAAGTTTCCTTACTCCACACAGAGCCTAATAATAATCCCTCCAAACCAAAAACAATAATAAATTGGTCATTTTCAATCTACGACTGTTTGCGGGACATTGCTGTGCGCAATTGGCTGCCGCGTTCTCCCACAAGTATACAGTCAATTCACTTTACAGTGTCTTCTGTGAAGCGCTTTGGGACATCCTCCCGACGTGAAAAGCGCTATATCAAATGCAAGGATTATTATTAAGTTGTTGTTGTTGTACTGTTGAGGGTTCCTGATACACTGAATGTACATGTCCCTTCTGCGGTCGTGGGATGACGGGCTTCCTGTAGTTTGCCAGGCGCGGTGGCTGAAATAACATGACCCTCCTCTAGATGGAACCAGACGATCAATGGAACCTCGTGCCCAAGAATCTGGTCCTTGCAGCCAAGTTGCAGAGAGAAGGCAACTTCAGTGCTTCCGCTCATTTAAGCTCAATCTAAAATAACAGAGCAGCAACGAACCTGGAGCGTTAGTGAAGTTGCTGGAGTTTAACACTAAGGTAGTCAGTCAGGCACATGTTGCTGTCAAAAGATTCAGTTTGGAGTTGCTGATGCGATGTGTTAATCGGAGGTCAGATCACCACTACAAAAGAATCAATGCTACTAGGGAACTTTTTGGGAACCTCCAGTCATGATAAATTCACAAACTTACACATTTTTTGTCTTTTTGAATTTAGTCTGTGAAAAGCACGAGTTTTTACTGAATTGTATAAGAACGAATTGCATTTACACAGCGCTTTTCATGACATGAGGATGTCCCAAAGTGCTGGACGGTGAAGGGTTTGCATCCGAGCTAGGGGATTGGACGAGGGGTGGCGAGCAAAGGGGATGGCGGTGGGAGGATGACCGAAGGCACATTCAACAACAACAACAACAACAAGATTCCATTTATAAAGCGCCTTTCACGTCAGGAGGACGTCCCATTCGAAGAGGAAGGTCTTCAGATGGGCCTTGAAGGAGTTCAACCTGTTTCATCAACTCTCATTTTTCGTATTCGGGGGCCGTGCTTTCAGCCACTACGCCCCGAGGCTCTGGAATTCCCCTCCTCACTCCCTTCGCCTCACTCCCTCCCTTCCTACTTTCAGGTCTCTGCTGAAGAACTTTCTTTTCGACTGCGCCTTTGGTCACCTTCCTCCCCCTCCCGCTGGCTCGGTCCCGGGATCTGTTACTGTGAAGCGCTCTGAGGCGCCGTCCGGTGTGGAGGGCGCTATATAAATCCAAGTTGTTGTATTTTAAAAAGTTTTCTTCTCTAATTTCTCACCTTGTTTGCTTTTTTACTGGGATTTTCTGTATTTTTTTGGTCAGTTATGCGTCTGACGCATGCGTCAGCCCGTTACCATGCTTAACTATATCCATACCAAACAGCTCTATGCATTCTACCTATACATGGAAATTTTCTTTGTCTCTCACACATGCTAAGTTTGTAACTATTCTGTGACAGCTCTAAGTATCAACAGAGGTGAAGTGTGAACTGCTCTTAACTAAATGGGCACTTTTTTTTGTGTAATGAGTCTACGTTGCGTATTGGATAATGAATACTTCTGGAAATTACCGTCCAGTTAATCAATCTGAATTGAATACACATTGTGCAGGTTCCTGGTGGGCTACTGTAATGGAATAGGCAGCGAGTGGACTTGTTTACATGTGCAAATTAACTTGGTCCCTGATTCGCAATTGAAAGCTTTGAAACTAAATTGTGTTTTGACTGCATCACTCTTGCTGATATAGGGAATGTTTTTATGAATCTATTACATGAATAGAATGGCTTAATTAAACATGCAAGTGCTGACAGAATCAGCCTAATTGTGCTTACATGTTTACCACACTCTCTCGGCTTGACAAAGCAACACTCCTGTGAATTAATTTGTAGAAGATTTTAAAGTTCAGTCTTCTCCTTTTCGTGGAATGTGTTTTAAGAAGTGGACAGAAGACGTGAAATTTAGAGCTGCCTATCCCGGTGAAACAGAAAGTATTAGTCAAGTGTAGTTACTTTATGTTTTTGTGAGGATCCTTATACAGTACCTCTAGTCCTCCGAATGAATAAATCCTGCAATAATACAATTAAAGTCTCCTCAGCCGGCTTGAAGTGTCCCATGTGAAGCCAGTTTGAGGGAGGCTCAGCCCAGCTCCCAGTTAGTGCAAAGCCTGGGAATTTTCTTCTCGAGCTGCCTTTGTGACGTTCATCCTCGCCTCATTTGGAGCACTTTGTACTAAAACGGAAAGAGATAACAGTTGCGCAACACACACACACAGACTGGAAAATTCATCACTGTTGCAAAGGGTTCAAAAACAAAAAAGGACAAAGGTTATAAGAGGAAGAAAGGAAACCGAAACCGAACTTTTTATCACAAACACAAAGAGACGCTGGACTCGTGGGACGTTCCCAGAGAAGGCAACTGATGTGGAGAGCGCAAACGGTGGGAGTTCCAGCGGCTCAGTGGTTAGAGCGCTCGCCTCGCGGGCGGGAGAGGACCCGGATCCGATGCCCGGACGGGGGAGGAAACCTCGGGCAGGTTTCCTTACCCCTCGCAACGCGCCTCTGCCCACCCGGCAGCGGGTCGTGGGTTGTTATTCGATTGGTGGATCGATTTCCCGAGGGGGGCAATAACCCCTTGGAAACGAATAAAAATAACGTGGCCGCCTCGGCCCACGGCCGTCCGCCGGGGGGGGGGACCGTTCGTGTCGCCGGGCGCGACCGGCCGCCGCGTTCCGCCCACAGGATCGACGCAGTCACTACGCTTGAACCGGACGGAGTGTCCCGTGAAGCGCTTTCGAGGCGTCTCGAAGACCCGGTCCAGGCGCCCGCGGGGGTCAAAGGCCGCGACTGCTATTACTATTGTTTGCTGCTGTTGTTGTTGTTGTTGTTGTTGTTGTAGTAGCAGTGGTGGCGGTGAAGCGCTCTGAGGCGCGGCCCGGGGTGGGGGGGTGGGGGTGGGGCGCGGTGACCGCTGTTGTTGTTGTTGTTGTTGTGGTGGTGGTGGCAGTGGCTGCCACGTGTCTCGGGGCCGCGCATGCGCCTCGCTGCCGCCGCGCCGAGCGCTGGGGGTCCCGCGGCCAATCTCTTCCCCCCGGAGCAGCGGAGGCCGCGCAGGAAGGTTCCGGGCGGTCAGTCAGTCAGTCAGTCTGTCTGTGCCCGGTGTCGGTGTCGGGCGGACCGGGCCTCCCCCTCCCCCCCCCCTCCACCGTCCACCAAACTCAGGTAAGGGACAAAGCCCCCACTCCCCCCCACACACTCCCCCCCACACACACACACGCGCGCGGGCCTCGGGGGGAGCGGTTCGGGGGCTCTGGTTTGGTTTCGGTGAAGCGCAGCTCTTCCCCCAACGCACCTTTTTGTCAGTGTTTTGTGGCTCTCAGAGAGGCTCTGCGCTCAGGACGGTTCCCATTGTCCCTCTCAGGGAGCTGTGTGGGAGAGTGGGGGGGGGGGGGGGGGGCATTGGGGGGTGGGGTGTGTGTGTGGGGGCTGTGTGTAGGGTGGGGGCTGTGTGGGGGGTGGGGTGTGTGTGTGGGGGGGCTGTGTGGGGGTGGGGGCTGTGGGGGGGTGGGGGGGGCTGTGTGTGGGGGGGGGCTGTGTGGGGGGTGGGGGGTGTGTGGGGGGTGGGGGGGGTGGGGGTGTGTGGGGGGGTGGGTGTGGGGGCTGTGTGGGGGGGGGCTGTGTGGGGGGGGTGTGTGGGGGTGTGTGGGGGGGTGCGGGTGTGTGGGGGGGGGGCTGGTGG